TCACATATTCAAATCATCTGTTATTTGCATATGTGAAATCAAGTAATTGTGAAGTTGATAATGCATCTCGTGCCGTGTTATATACTTCTAATGTAATGTAATTAGAAAAATCAAAGAAACAATTCACTTTTATGATTGAAAGGAAGAACAGTGTGGTAGACTAGAATTTTTTCTTTTTCTTTTTCTTTGACTTCTCATAGTGTTCTTCATGACGGAGTTAGATTGATACCTGAGCTGCTTGGAACTGTAATTTGAATACAGCTTTGATCTTTTCATTCCTCCATCTTCCCACCTTGAACATCTTGGACTCTTAGATGACTCAATTCGAAACTTATGCCACTAGTGAAGTTCTTGAAACGTCAAATTTGCTGTTGATCTTTCCCCTTCTGTTTAGTATTCTCGTACATTGGTAGTAAAGCTCTGGTTTGCAGGGATGTAAAGGGACAGGGTACAATAGAATAAGAGTAAAGGGACGTTGTTGTCAGTGAACTTCCTTCTTAAGCTCTAGGTTTCTGGTGAGAAATTTTCTGCTGTATTGAACTACACAAGTACAACAATTTAGAAATTAGTTAGTAGGAGTTGAATTAATCTCTGTCTCTCTGTTTTCTCCTTTGATTTCAGAAAGGTGATCTGGCCCATTCACTTTTGATTTTTTTTTTTTTAATTTTTAATTTTCTACCCTTTTCAGTACATGTGGGCCCAGGATCTTCAGAGATTTTATATTTTTAATTTTTAATTATCCTTAGTAGAGTGCTTGAGGTAAAGCATCCAGAAGGTTAGGTGAATGGAAAGAAAACCAGGTTACCACCAGGACAAGAAAGAATAGGCAAGGAAAGAAACTTCTCTATCATTCTCTGATTAAAGTTTAATATTGGCTGTGAGAGCAGCAGCTGGAAATCATGTGAGTTCCGATGTTTGTTTAAAGTGGGCACGTGGGTAAGGACTAACGAGCCTTATGTTTTTTTTTTTTTTTTTGGCAGTGATAATTAAATGCTAAGGAGCCTTCTCAGTTACATTGGGTTACTATAAAATATTCGAAGTATATTGAAGTTTATATCTCACAAATCCTTAGAAGGCAATGATTTATATAAGATTTATATTATACAGATAGTCTGTCTAGTCAGTGTCCACATTTGCCTGTGGTTAGCATTTAATTATCACAAACCTTCTTTGCTGTTCTTGGAGTACATTAAAAGATCATTTTAATGTAACAATCAGATAACAGTATTTGGAAATCTAGAATTTAACCTATCCTCTTTTCTTTGAGACGTTTGGGGTGGAAGAGGGGGTGTACATTGGTGATTGGATGGTATTGGATTAAGATTTAAGAGTTTCATGTGAAGACAGTAATGATACTGATGGAAGGATCTGTTTATGCTAGATGGTGCCACCTTGCTGCATTATGCGAAATAGATAAGCTCCCAAATCGTTGACGGAACCTTGATGTCTGAAATATAGGGATATATTACGCCTGCAAATTGTCTTTATACAATTTAAGTCGAAAGTTAGCACTTTGTGGGGGTGGTAGCACATGGAATCATGTCTGTCACACACTAGTGCCAGATCATTTTTCTATTTCAAGTCCTCTTCTAGTCTACATTTTCCTCTTTGAAACAAAGGACACTAAGGCTAGAATTAAAGAGGAAAAGTCATTTAATTTCGTTGTCAATCTTTTTTCTTAGGATTTTAATGTTCTTTTTTTTGATCAATTTTGCGTAGTCATTTCGTGTTTCTATAGATCTTTTCTTTCTAGTTTCTTAATGACGAAGTGGATTCGTATTTTAGATGAATCTAGAGTCTATTTTGTCCATTCTTTTTTTTTCACTTATCTATGTTTGTTCTGTAAATTTTAGAGCACCAATTTATTAGGAGTATTAAAGGTTTTGAGGTGGAAATTTTTTTGGAGTTGGGACTTGAAATTATTTATGTGCAGAATTTGGTCATTTTGATCCTAACTCTTGAATTGTGGAGGAGTATTATTCATTCAATTTCTTATTATATCAATTTATTTTGGGGGACCAATTATATCTTTATCGTTACAGTGTTAAGCTATCGATTCATAACTATTCTTTTGATATTGCGTAGTATGTTTCATACTTTCATAGCTTCCGGTGATAATTTCTTAATTAAGATTCATTTTATTTGGAGACTTTCCAAAGTATAGCGTAGAGTATTATCTAAGGATAAAAAGATTAGATTTTCCTACTACTGATTTGAGTAGTTACGGGCAGTACTCAGTGGGCACATTTAATTCTTTTGCAGCAATAAATGCTAGAGCATGGACTAACCGAAGTTAAAAAGTAGAATTTTGTCGGTAAAAATCTTCTTTCCGTGTGCAGCGGCAGACAGTAATGCCCTTTACAAATTAGGAGTACAATTAGTCAACTTAATTATAATGCCATGCACAAGTAATAATCATTGACCTCTTTTAGGCTATTGTAATTAAGGAGTTTCCTAATCCTGCACTAAATGTCTAATGTAAAGCTTAATCAAGTGGTTTACAATTTTGTATTTCCCAATGAAGCTTTTGTTATTTCATTGAACTATGATGGGATAGAAATGTACTACACTTTATATGATTGGAGATACAAAAGTTTCTAGTTTTTCATACACTAGTTTAGCCTCCAGTCCTCCACTAGTTTAGCTGCTAAAATATATCTTCGTCCACTATTGCCCCCATTTCTAACCTTTATCTTTGCATAGTTGCATTCATGAGTCATTTGAATAAAGAAGCCACTTTTTTTTCTACAGTAATTTTTTGTTCGTCCCCACTTACTGGATGATGTTTGGTGTTGAATATTAGAGTAGATAGTTGCATCTGACAACTTGCTGGGGACGCAGCTATAATCAAGTATAAACTATGTTATTGGGACAGTCATGGAACATGTTTACAACTTTCAAGGTCATGCATTTTTCTTAATTAATTAATTGGTAGTGAAGTCAAGTTTTTATACTACGTACTTCATTGTTTTGTTGACAAGGGAATGGATCCCTTCTACGCTGAGAAAACAACTCAGTCACTTGATCTATATATAATAGGACACTAGCTCTCACAAAGAGGCTTAAGAGGTCCAAATGAGTCGCCGAGACATTATTGATTACAAATGAGGGATGAGGATTTCGAGGTGATAGAACCAAAAATCAATGTAAGTATTTGGAATGCTGAAGCTAGTATCCTCTATGTTTAATAATGCATTATGCTACATACATGATACATATGACAAGCTGTGGGGCTTGATTAAGTTGGGCCTTTCTCTATAGCCACATTTTTGCCCTTGTCACACATGATTTAGTGTTGTTGCACATAAAAGAGGATCTTAATTGTTGATTTGCAAATTGCAATTGTAAAGGAAGGAGGGTGTGAGGGAATGAGAGAAGTCAGAGAACATGGAAAGGAATTGAGTGGGCTAGGAATAAAACTTCTGAAGTTTTAACAATTTAAACAATAATGATTAAAAAAAAAAATGTTTTTAGAAGAGGAGAAATATATCAGTCCAATTAATTATTCATCCCCCCATTAACTATCCAAGCTAGGAAAATAAATCTTTTTTCTAATCAACATTCCAAATTTCATCTAATCACTATTAGTGTTCTAATTTTAGGCATAAGGTTGAAGGATTTTAATTTGGCTGTTTTGGGGGCTTCAAGATGTGTATGCTTGCTGCTTGCCTGTTTGCACCTTTGAGTAGGCATCAAGATATGCTTTATCAGCTTTAGACTTCGCAGGAAAAGTTAAAGGCAAGCAAAAGAGATGGGTCAGTGTAGCCTCATCAATTGGGCCCATCTAGATAAAGCCTTTAAGTTCTACTGGACTTACTGGGACAATATAGTGGGTTAAGTTGAGTAATTCTTTCGGTCCATGGCTAACTGTTATCCACAAATACCAGTCCAAAGCCTGTAAGTGTAAACTATAGAGATATACTGCTGATCAATATGGTTGAATATATGCATATTAGGAATGGAATGGATTGCTCTACTTTTATATGAACATAAAATTGATATAATACTCATTTTGCATTGTTTTATGAATGACTCCTGACTTTGTCTATAAATTTGGGAGCATGAAATGTGTTTTTCTGTTTTATGTAGGTTAAACCTGTATTTTTATTGTGCTTTGAAAGTTTGTTACATTATGTTCTGTGACTTGTGTCCATTTATATATTGAAAGAGTATCTTTTGGTGAGCTCATGAACTTGTAGTATTGTGGTAAGTGTTAGAAACATATTTTGGCTCTTAAATTACAGAAGTTAGGTCATAAAAGCAAAAATTTTAATTAATGTAAAGTTTAGTGGCATTTGTGACATCCTCCAAATTCCTTATCCATCCAACGTATACCTTGTTACCTACATTTGTGTTGAACTGGTGGGATAACGGGATTTAATTTTTTTTCACGTCCTTTTCAACTAGTAAAGTCTCAGTTTGGAAAACAAATATAGGTCTAAGGTGAGGTGGAGGCTAACAAATACTTATCTCGTGTAGTTATTTGTGTAAAGATACGAAATGTTAGATTCAATGTATACTACTTGATTTTAGCCTTTTAGGTGAATAGTATAGCATGTTTATAATTTCTTGTATGTTTGACTATGTTGCTCTTACAATTTTTTGTTCATATTATCTCTCGGTCTCTCCCTTCATAATTGACAATCTAATTAACAAAACATGTATTTCTAGAGCTGAATATTTTCACACATTTAAGGAAATCGCATAAATCTAGTGATGCTGAAATGAACACATAATCTCCCTCTTCACTAGCCATATGACCACCTCAACTCCATTCATATCTGCTTATGTAGACTGAAGTGGGCGGTAGTCCGTGAAAGACACACGAATTCTAGACCCTGTGGGCCCAAAACCAATAGGATCTTCAGGACCTTTCCTTGAATTTAAAATTGTAGGTCTTTCCACGTAGTCCAATTTAGTTTTTTTTCGTTTTTTTTTTCTCCATATTATCCTTTTTCTGTATACAGGTATCTGGATTCTGGAGTCTTAATCTGACGGCTAATATCGCAAGTTGCCAAAGATAAATAAAAGTCGAAATTTTCTCCGATAGAAGAAGATAAAAAACAATGCTTTAGCTACCAAATATAACGACTTTTAGCTTTTGTTTCATTTTGGAATACAACGAACTTTGGCATTACATAAGTAGATCAGAGATTATCTAGAGAGAGAAAGAGAGGCGAAGGATGGCTGTGGTAGTAAAGGCAACTCCGTTAACGTTTGTGGTACACGCGCTTGCGGTAGCATGCGCAGTAATGGTATTGGTTTGGTGCATCCACTTCCGAGGTGGTTTGGCCTGGGAAGCTACCAATAAAAGCCTCATCTTCAACGTATGTTCCCTAACTACCATTCCTCATATTTGATCTTGCCCTTTTTATTTTACTTTTTTTTTTCTTTACATTTGTAGTGCCATTTTACATTTTTAATTGTCCCAAGAATAGGACTGATGATTTTATTTTACTGAAATTGGGAATTTGATTAATGATTATAGTTCCCAATTTGGTGGGAACACCAAAAAATACTTTACAGGGAAAAAAAAATATATGAAGCAACTAATCTCGCAATAATTCTACTTTTGTATAAGGTTTTTTTTTAATCAGCTATAAGAACTAATGGGGGGCTGTGTAATTGGAGGGTGTGCTAGATCATAGTATCCTATTGTCTGCTTGTATCTCTCAGAAGATGATACTTTTGGACTTTTGGTTGGTTTAGGTCTGAGATAGGTGTGTACGTGACAATTAATTTTGCACATGTTTTTGACTTTCTAAATTTCTATATTTATTAGTATGTGAGCAGTTGGAAGCCCATTGGCTTTAGTGTCCAGATGATTGTCTTTAACAAATGATGAAGAGTAATTATTTGGAACTTGGAAGAATGTGTCTAGTCGTCTAGATGATACAAGTCTATTTAGCCGCTTCGTTGAATTTGATATGGTGCAACCAAGACTTTGTGTTTCTATTTTTTTTTTCTCGAGCCAAAAAAAATAAAATAAAATAAAAATTTAGAGGTGAAGTTATTCCTTGAACATCCTTGATGAAAAATGTTACTAGTACGAGAAACTCCAAGGTTAAATCTGTGATAATTGTCTGAAATAACTCAATATGATCCCCTTCCAAGCTTCAATATTCCTAAATTGTCCTATATAAGTCCTTCGGGATTTCCAAACCATTATGCAAGGAGAATATATACTCAGTATTTTGAAACTACATATGCTATGATAATATGATGTATCAAACCTCTTGCTAACGTAGATTGTTCATGTCAATATAAGATGAGGTGTTTTGTCCCGTTGTGGAAATGTTTTAGGATTGCAGATAGACTGAGATTGGTTACTTGAGAATAGATTTTGGTGAGCTGGATCTCCTTAGCCCTTTCTATCTGATTCATGTGGAACGTGTGAAACATGGTGTTATTTAAACAGTGAAAACAATTTCTGTAATAATATAGTCTTGCTTTTTTAATATGTGCTTTATTTAATTTGGCAGCTAGTGATTGACTCTGAAGCGCTTCTTTACCATGTTTGTTAACCTACCCGATTAAGATAAGGTTTATATTTAAATGTTAATGTATTACGGAGTAGAATTAAAAGGTGATGTTGGGAGTCTTGGGGCTTGAAGATCCATTAGAAGGAAGGTACTTGCTGGTCATTAAAAAGAAGAGGTTGCCTTAATACTCAAGTTTTCGGAACAGATGTAATTTTGAAGAGAAATTCATCATAGGTTAATCATTGAAGTTGGTTCTAGGAAATTAGCTAGTGAGCAAGTCACGGTGTGAGGTATGAATTTTTAATGATAGGTCAAGTGAAGTGAAGTGTGCGAGTCAATTTGAACTAATTCCCCATCCTTTATACTTTGAATTGCGTTTATAGTGGGTTATACTTGATCTTTGTTTACTGGACTAGTGCTTCTTTAGGTTTCATATTCCTTCTTTTTCAATTATTATCCGATGAATTAGTTGGTTGTCTCTATAAATGTGGCTATGAGACTTCAGAACATCAAGCTTTTAATTGATAAGGTAACATAATGCATGCTAGCTTACAGAAAGGTAAACACCTTCATTAGAATGATCTATTTTCTCTCTGGAGGGAGGATTAGGAATGTGTCTCTCTGTGATTTAGAACATCTGTATTAAACTTGAAGGTAGCTTGCATTGTTACAGGACATCTAGGCTATAAATGATTGCTTGCATTGTAACTTCTCTGAGATGATCTTGTTTTTCCTTCTTTTGTTCTATAACTTAATAAGCATATAATTCTGTATTACTTAAATCACTAATCCTCCCAAACTACAACATAAAGCTAGTTAGGCAATGTCATCCACTACCCATTTCATGTACCAAGGTAGCTGTGATGTAAACCTATATGGTGATGGCTTTATCAGCAATGTTGTTACTTTGATGGGATTTGTTGAACAGTCTGGATTTGCACTGAGCACTAACCATCAGCTATTTCTTTTGACAGATTCATCCTGTTTTGATGCTGATTGGTTTCATAATACTTGGAGGTGAAGGTAATAGATCAGACAAACTCTTAATCTATAACATATTGCAATTAGTATCCGTTTTTTAATTTAGCTGAAAATTCAGGTTGTCTTTGTAACATACTAATTACAATTCAATTGCAGCAATTGTAAGCTACAAATCTCTGCCCTTCAAGAAAGAAGTGAAGAAAGTGATTCATCTAGTGCTGCATGCTGTTGCACTAATTCTTGGTATTGTTGGTATATGGGCTGCATTCAAATTCCATAATGAGAGTTCAATCCTGAACTTGTACAGCTTGCACTCATGGCTTGGGATTGGCATCATTGTCCTCTATGGCCTTCAGGTAAACTCTTATACCTTACCAAAATTCATTAGAGGATGCAAATGTCAAGCTTCTGATTCAGGAAATACTGTTAAGTCTGTAACCTCATGAGTCATGATCAATAAACAGTGGAAAACTACCAAGCTTAATACTCATGGATGGAAAATGTGAATTCTTGATAGCTACTAATCATGATTTCAGAACTTATTGGCCGAGAGGGATTTGGCATACAAATGAATTTATATTAGTGTGATTGAGAATTGGCAACACATAAGCCACTGGGGCAAAATTTGTAATCGTGACTATTAATCCATCACTGCTCTGCTCCCCTTCTGTCCTTCACATAATTACATTAGTGATCTTCAGTAAGTTCTGTTGGTAAGTAGTGTCACACGATATCAGCCCAACAAGATAGAGCTGTTTACTGATCTCTGACTAACCTTTGTGTCATAATGAATTCTGAAGACGGTTTCTTTTACAGTTAACCAGCATAGAATATAAAAGTATTGTACAACTATATTGCTGGATTGTTGTCAATTGTTGTGGTTAACTGGTTATATTTCTTTAAAATATAGCCCTGTGAGTGTTTTTCCCCTCAACTTCTAATTACAGTACAAACTGGTGGGACAAATTTTGCAGTGGATATATGGATTTGTAACATTCTTCTATCCAGGAGGGAGCTCATCCCTGAGAGCTGATTCACTTCCATGGCATGTTCTCTTCGGGATATTTGTGTATTCATTAGCTATTGCAAATGCAGCAATAGGGTTTCTTGAGAAGCTTACCTTCCTTGAGAGTGCAGGCCTTGACAAAGTTGGTGCAGAGGCTTATCTTGTCAACTTCACTGCCATCGCCACTGTACTGTTTGGTGCATTTGTTTTGCTCACGGTGTATGCTCAGAAGGATCAGGAGCCAGAGGAGGACTATAGCAGCTATTCTGCTATTTAAAAGTCTAGATATAGTAGTATTCACTTATAGGAGATAGGGGAAGCAGGAACAAAGAATAGCATACCATTCTGAATGCTTGTTTCCCTGTATTATTATTTTCGAGGTTGATGTATAGGCATGTTGGTATCAGCTACGTAGTATATTTGTATGTAAGTGACAATCTTGTTGGTGGTCTTGTAAACTGAAAATAATACGTAGTAGTACCTTTGTTGCTAAGTACAGTGAACACCTTTAGTTACACTACATCTGGATTCTGGAATTGATTGTTATATTACTAATCCTAGTCAAGATTGTTTTGCTCATCTGTCATAGTATGGTTGTATTGCAGACAAGAGATATCCGTCTGTATAATTGACATCCTGAAACAAATAAAGACTAACGATAACTAGACCTGGCAATCCTGACCCATACCCGATGATCCGACCCGAATGACCCGATCCATGACCCGAAAATGACCAAATACAACGACCCGGAACCCGAAATTGAACTGACCCATACCCGACCCGAAAATAGAGTTGAACCGATCCTGACCCGACACCCGAAGTTGATCCGACTCGAAATTGACCCGAATTGTTTGACCCGATACCCAAAATTGACCCGAACAGACCTAATACTCAAAATGTCCCGAACTAAAATTACCTTATAATTTATCTAAAAATGTCTGGTGCCAAAAATAATTTAAATTGTTCATCTTCAACTATAGCCACACTCATAAACCGAATTGATAGTTCCTATTATAACAATTATAAAATATAAAATTATTGATTTGAGCTAAATCCACAAATTAAATGGAACAACCCGAACATGACCCGACCTGATTTTGACCTGACCCGAATATGACCCGAACATACTTGACCCGAAAATGACCCGACCCGATACCTGACCCGAGCCATACCCGAAACCCCAAATGACCCAACCCGACCCAAACCCGACCCGAATGTTAACAGACCCGAAATGACCCAACCCGAACAACCCATTTGCCAGGTCTAACGATAACTACGTTTATTTTTTAAAAATTGAAACATATTGAGCTTTTTTTTTTGAAAGATGAAACGTATTAAGCTATTATAATGATTTAACACTAATTGTCTACAGCTATACTTGTGAACTCTGTTAATATGATCTCATTATGGCCAAAATAGCATGATCTCACCAAATATCAGTTAACATCATGGGTCCCGAGTGGATTGTCTCGCCTGTATCATGATCATAAACATAAAGAGTATACAAATATATGAAATCATACTCAACATTTGATTATATAATTGATTGATTCAAGAATTAATACAATGGGCTGTATAATATGATTGGCTAACTTGTCAGCTTGGTTGGTGAGTATACTTTCCAATGATTTGTATTCAATCAACAAGCATTAGCAGTTGGAAACAATCTGGAATTTTTTCTAATGGGAAGTAACGGAACTACCGCGTCATCTTCTTATTGATTATTTTTATCGTATTCTTTTATCTATTTAACCTTAGTCAATCTGCTATGTACTATGTAATATTTAAATATTCAACAACTTTGTTAAGTAAAAAAAAGAGTCTCATTTATTGTTCAAGATATCATTCAAGAATAACTATTTTTATTTAGAATTAACAAAAAAGTATCCTCCAAAATAGGGATTTCTTTATTTTCGTTTGTTTAAGACAACCAGAACAGGATATTAAACAATCAGTAAACATAGAAAATAATAGGTGCAGTCAACATATCCCCTTTTTGTAACTTATGAAGCCAAATTCATAATGACTACAGACTAATATAGTAATTTACCTACTTTTACATCTCACTTTATTATCAACTTAATCATCATTAACAATTAAAATATTGAATATTGTTTACCAAATACAAGAAAATACTGTAAGATAAAATTAATTATACAGTAATATAATAACAAACGTAAAAAGAGGAGAAAAAGAGTGCAAAGTATGAAAAGGCCATTCTGGCTCATTTATTTTTGGGTTTGCTTGATTGCTTACACCAATAAATCATTCAACCTTAGTTTTCATTCCAGCTAATATAACAACTGCTGTCAAAAATACCCTAATATAAACTACTGTCTTCATCACAAACTTCCCTCAACTTCTTTCTAACCTCTTTCTTATCTTACTTCCTGTTTTTTTTGTTTTTGTTTTGTTGGATTTTTCTTGTACGAAAAAATAAAAATAAACTTGGTATTATTATCAATACCAAGTGATAAAGATGGCAACAACAGCAGAGGAAACAGCAAAGATGGTGGAGACTCAAACTGCGGTGCCGCCGCCACAGCAAACTCCTCCGCAAGAATCACCTGCGCCGGCCGTGGAGACGCAGGAAACTGTGGTTGTTGCTGAAGAGAAAGCTGTGGAAGAAACTCAACCACCTCCTCCTGCCACCACTGAGGAAGTTCCTGAAACTCCTGCTTCTGTTGAAAGTTAGTTATAAATATTTCCTCTGTTTTTTTTTTAATTTAATTTTTTAATATTTTTTGGGGTTTTTTTTTTAAAAAAATTATAATCTTTGTATGGTAATTTGTGCATGTCCTTTTTTAAATTTTTTTGTTATTTTGATGGGTGTTTTAATTCCCTTGAAATTTTGCATGTGTGAGTGATTGGTTTGAATTTTTGATACAAATGATTTTGTTCTTTTTTAAGAAAGGTGTTACCTATTTATTATGGTTTTGATTGATGCATAGGATTTCCAATATGATATCAAAGTGATGGTGAGATGATTAAAATGACCAAAACCATTTTAAAAAAAATTATGTAATATCCAATTATCCATAGATGAGTAGTATTCATGGATAAGTGATTTTAATTATGCTTTTTTTTTTTTTTTTTTTTTTTGGGGAGGGGGGAGGGGGGGGTTTCATGGACTCTCTTTTTTTTTTTTTCTTCTCAAAATCTATGGTATGGTTGATATGATTAAAAGTTGACATTTAGCAACCAATTTTTGTCTCTAGTTCTATTTTAGTTGAGTGATGCTTGAATTTTGATACCCCTGGAATGATATAGCTTACCAAAAGAAAAGTACACTTTGTAATATTTTTGTTTCTAGGCACTCAACCTTGAAATAGGTACTAAATCTTTAAAAAGAGTATGCTCCTAAAAAGGAAACTAAATCTTTAAGGTTTCATTATATTTTTTGTTTTTTGGTTCATAAAAGGCAACTAGACAATTTTGAGGAGTTTGAACCTATCTTGAGTATACTCCTTTACGGCTTTATCATCTGAGCGAGCTTACATAAAGGAATTTAATAGTCCACTCGGTCTTTATTCTAATTTGCGTAAAATATCTTCTAAGGGGGAGAAGAGATGAGGGTTTGCTGAATTTATTAATTTCTACTTAGTGACACTAAGAAGCAGTGTGCATACAAATGAAACCAAAGAGTGATTTCCATTCAGTTACCATGTTATTGACTTTCAATATGATATACTCGTAATTGATTTTTAGTAAATAATTTGAATCTAATGTGTTTTATGGACAGAGGTTACAGAATCATCCGAGGATAAGCCTAAAGAAGAGTCGCCTTCTGAGGAGAAGCCTGCAGAGGAGAAGCCTGTAGAGGAGAAGTCTTCAGAGGAAAAGCCTTTAGAGGGCTCAACTGGTAGAGGTAATATTTTCATTCATCTTATTGTAGATGAGGTCAGTAATTGTTATTGTGATTTTCAATATATTTTGATTGTTGTATTCAGATGCTCAGCTTTCAAGAGTTCAAACGGAGAAGAGGAACTCACTGATCAAAGCATGGGAAGAAAGTGAGAAGTGCAAAGTCGAAAACAAGTAAGAATACTTTCAGTCATGTCATCATTCCATTGTTATGTCTTGAAGTTGCTGAGGGACAGACTGAATTACTGAAACACAGTGTTTTGAATAAAGATTTGAGTGAACCAGTCCTCAGAATGTTCTCTAGAGCCGTTCTTGCACAGATTTTACATGTTACAAATCTAGTATAGTTTTAACCATGTTCTAGATTTAAGCCTTTGTCGTCTGAATAATGCATATAAATATAAACGATACTCTTTGATGGAAAACATGGGACACTTTTTCTTACTAAATGGATCGAGCAGGGCACAAAAGAGAATTGCTGATGTAGAGGCATGGGAGAACAGCAGGAAAGCAACTGCTGAGGCTGAGTTAAAAAAGATGGAGGTATAGTGCCATTGATTTTGTCTCTTTGAGTATATTGTGCTGCGCGATAGAAGGCTGTTTAGCTGATAAGGATTTCATGAGTGCAGGAAAAGTTGGAAAAGAAGAAAGCAGAATACGCGGAAAAAATGAAGAACAAAGTGGCAATGATTCACAAGGAAGCAGAGGAAAAAAAGGCGACAATTGAAGCCAAACGTGCTGAGGATATTGTCAAAACAGAAGAGTTGGCTGCTAAATATCGCACCACAGGAAAGCCCCCAAGAAAATTCTTGGTTTGTTCTAAGAAGAATTATTTGAATAAATTATACCGAGAAGGGACAAGTGAATCAAGTAAGCAATTAGATTGTGAAAAGGGTGAAAAGGAAAGAACAAAAAAGGTCTTAATTTATTTGTACAAGTGTTCCATGGTTTATTTATTTAATTAGCAGGTGTATAGTTTGGGCAGACTTATGAAATTTGTTACATGTTTGTTTTCATATGTGGATATGATTTGTTTTCGTACGTGGATATGATTTGTGATATGTACATAAGGTGTGTATTGGACCACAAATATGTCTGATATCGTTTAGATTTTCCTGTTTTCTGTTACAAATTGCAGCACATCTAATATCTAATATCAGTCAGGAATTAAGGATATACGGCTCTTGGATAGGCATTACACACTAACTGCTTAAGAAGCGCGATCTACATATACAAAATGATCTAATGTTTATTTTCAAACTAACCAGCACTGAACGAAGTTCTACTACACAAAAATCAGATCACTGTCTTTCTCTAATCCTTGCTACTAACTTTAAAATCCCTGACAAAATTTGGCAAGATCGTGTATCATGCGATTCATGCCTGCTAGTAAAAGTTCAGTGCACTAATCAGTTCTAATCGCTTATTCGCTTACTGGAGAATCCAGCAACATGTTCATTGCTATATCTGAAGGATCACCTAAATCATCAGACCCTGAGTATGTGCTCTCCTGCTGCTCTTTCTTCACGCTTACAGGCTGCCAAACTTGACCTGTCATACCTGAATGCTCCTTCCTTGTAATCATCTTCCGAAAGGACTCTCCGACTTCAGAGTTCCACAGACAAAGGAAGTGATCAGAGTTGTATCTAGGGTATCCTAAGGGGAAGCAGAGGGACTCATATGTTAACCGAGCCTCAGTCTCCACTCTGATACTCTCCCATTGTGCCATGTGCCGGGTTATATGCGACTTTTCAGATGGTGTAGTTCTTGAGTACAAGTTGATGGTTGTGTATTTCTTAATGTGGGCTTTCCAATGATTCTTTACATCATTGTCTGTTCTTCCTGGCAGTTTTGCTGCTATTGCAGCCCACCTGCAAATATGGTATGAATACTAATTAATACATCTTAAACATCGTTTAAACAACCAAGGTGTTGATAGCCTAAATGTATCGTGTTTCCTTAATTTGAAGTTAACCCGGTCTGGCGCGAGGTCAAAGTCCTTGACTTCTGTTAAAAAATTGTCCATGCTCCAAAGTCCAAATGTTAAAACTTATATAGTTGCTCCAAGCTTATACTTATAGAATAAGATATATATAACTTCGTTCTACAAATGTGGGACTTCCTTCTCAGCATCAAGAACTTACTTCTATTCTACTAATGTAGGACTTATTTCCCATCATTAAATAACATTTATTATGAAGACTACTCTAACGGTGGGTTTGATTAATTCTGAATCCAAAATCTATTTCCTACCTAGTGAAATGTTTGGAGGAAAACAAATTCTAATGTGAGTCTGTCTCATATAATCGATGATTTTATTGTAGGATTGACAGTCAATAGTCGTGCATTAAATGCACTTATATGAATAGCTGAACTATCAAATCCTTTAGTATTTAGCGATGATGCAAATGGTAATCTCTAAGATTGGTAGAATAGAAGAATGGATTTGCACATATTGATACCTATTGCCAAGAAGACCATGAAGTTGTATAAGAATCTTGTTTTCATGCTCGGAGAAAGGTTCTCGTTTTATATCAGGCCTTAGATAGTTTGCCCAACGAAGACGACAACTCTTTCCACATCGAAGTATGCCTAATACATAACAAACAATGTTACACACTTACACATTACACTTAAATAAATGCATACCTTCTCCGTTCTAGTAATATTACAACAACTGGAATTTTACACTATTTATCACACTTGTTTGACCACATATTATGATTTATATATGTCAAGTAAAATATAGTCATGTCTCATGTGGGGTCTTGTTAGATTCGTCTCGTAAAATACTTTCACAATATCAACTTTTTATAATTTTACTCTTATATAATTATAGATATTTAGCATATAAAATATGTTTTAGGATACGTAATTTCATCCTTGTTATAATATTTGTGCAACAGAGGAAGTATCATAATACTACATGAATGAATGAAAATCAATTATATTTCACCTTGTTGGATGTATATCCAAAAACGAAAAATCAAGACAACTGTAATATTACTAACATAGAATGGTGAGAACTTTAAAGAAAATAATGTTTGGAGGTCAATATTGAGCATGATTGAACAACTTTTGGAATTGATTAGGCCCATGATTAAAAAATATAATTCTAGTATAGTTCTATAAATTATTTAGAGAATTAGCATACAAGAAGCACCAGTGGTCTAGTGGTAGAATAGTACCCTGCCACGGTACAGACCCGGGTTCGATTCCCGGCTGGTGCACAAATTTTTTGTTACTACTCTGTAATTTTTATTTTCTTTTTTGAAGAACGTTGTTACTATTATTTCACGCTGAATAAGACATGGTTTTGTATAGAAGAGCTCAATCAAACAATTAAATAAATAATCCAAGGATTGTATGAAAAGAATTTACCCAAAGTTCGTTAGAAAAACAATACTTCCAACATCTGTAAATGGTATTCTTACTATGACTATTTTTGTAAGACAATCGCCATCCAAGTAAGAATAACCTTAAGATACACGATTATACTCCATATATTTCATACAAGTAATACGAAAAAGGAGAGAAAAAAGAAAAAACACAAACCTGCAAGCTTAGGGAGAGACTTCCAGTTACAAGGACGACCATTGTTGTTGCGCATGAAATCAATAAGCTTTTGATCTTCTTCAGGAGACCAACACCCTTTATTATTGAACATACTTTCATTATAATTCTTCTTCTTCTTATATTTTTTACAACTTATTGTAGATGAGCTTCTTGTGATGTCTTTTATAATTACCATAATAATATTTTTTTAAAGACGTACAGTTGTTGATGAGTTTGCGAAAAAAGGGTCTCTTATTTATAACATTAAAAAGGTTGAGTAAACTATACACTAAAAAAAAAAAAAAAGTATTTACATAATTACATCAATGAGTGATAAGACTTTACGAGGGGATGATGATGAAGAACCTGAATCTCGTAAGTTTTAAGTGCAACATCCAGGTTTCTGTACATTAGTACATACTGACATACATAGACATATATTTAATGTAGTGTGTGTCATTTAACCAATACCTAACTAAATAAAGTATTTTTCTTTTTTTCTTGTTTTTTTTTTTTAAAGAAAAAGGTAAAATAATGTTTTTTGGAAGCAATTTGTCGTTGTTTATGAGAAATGAAAAATCCTATAGACAAAATCATTCAATCTTGAGAGTTTATTTGTTTTTTTTAACCTTATTATGTACGTGCATTGGCGCGGAGCGGAGCCAGGAATTTCTAATCGGGGGACAACAAATAAACATCTTTTAGGATGACAAATAAAATTCTTTTAAAAAACCTTGAACACATAAGTTCAATAGCTAATGCCTTACAACTCAATAATAGTTCAATAACCATATTAGATCATACTTTGAAAGCAATCGATGATATATTCATTGAAAACTTTGAAGGTAGGCTTGTTCACGGATCGGATATCCGATCTGAAATGCGATTTTGGATAGGATATCCGAATGCTCGGATATCCGAAACTGATATCCAAATCCGATCCGAAAATTTCGAATATCCGAAATTTTCGAATCAGATGCTTCGAATATCCATTATCCAATATTAAGTAAAATTGATTATGATTACTTTCTAAATTTCACTAATTTTACCACTTTTTTATCGCTAAGTTGTACAATATATTTTAACAAAATAATAGTCCTTTTGCAATAAAAATTATCATCAAATATATTAAGAATATTATAATAAATTAATAATACAGGATCAGATTTATATGAACAATTTAAAAATTTTATATATATTTCACTATTTCAGCCTTTATATTTCGGATATCGGATATCCGAAATTTTGAAAATCAATATCCCAATCTGCATCCGATATTCGCTTTTTCGTTTTTTTAGATCGGATTTCCGATCCAAAATGAAAACTCGGATCAGATATTCAAAAATTCAAATCTGTTGCGGATCGGATTATCGGATTATCGGATTCTCGGATAGTTTTGTACGGGCCTACTTGAAGGAATACATCTTTCTCATTCTTGTAACACATGAATTGTCGATTTGTAAACATGAATTGTCGATTTGCCGATGATTGGGTAGTTTTTTTGTCTTGGCCTTATTTGAATTAGGTGGATCATTTGACATGTCCTAATTAAATTGAAAACTAAAAATTAAATAGTTCAATTATCATATCCTACAATCATAATTATTAAAAAATTTAACACACTTAACAAGTTAACAACCCTAACATTGAGATTTAAATAATTAACCGGTTAAAAAATTGGTTTTAACAATTAACAATTATAAAAATGGGATTCAAACAATTCAAAAATGAACTTTAAATAATCAACAATTAAAAAAATTAGGATTCAAACAACAAAAATCAGTTTTACACTTATGTTTGTCGATTTCATATTTCACATTTATTATGTTTTTCTTTCTCTCTCGTTTTTTTCATTTTTTTTTTTAAAAAAAATCCTAATTTTGTTTGGTTTTTTTTTTTTAAAAAAAGGGGGGGTGTCCCCATCGTACCCCCTCCCTCCACCTCTGTGACGTGTAACTGTGATATGGAGTATATTATTAGGTAATTACCAATCTATCACGAATGACATATGTACGTATTTAAATATTTATAGGGGGTGTTGAAAACATTTATGTAACCCATCAAGTTATTTTTATTGAATTTGCATAACATAAACACATATACATGAAATTAGAATTTTAAATTCCACTATGACTCTAGTCTTTTGGACTTTTTTTCAGTTCAATCCTATTCAACTAAAAAAAAAAAAAAAAGATATCGATAATGTTAATAATATGGACTTATGGAGTGCCCAACTGTCAAATCGGATCCTTTTAAGCTTTTATAGTTTCATTATTTCGTTATAAATTTTGAAATCAAATTTCATCTACGCCCAAACACTCAATATAATTCATGCTTCTTCTATACGCTAAATACTCGTAATTAAATATCCTATACTTGTATAAATGGAGAACAGTACTAAGGACAGCCAAGCTAGGTAAACTTAAATTATGTAATCTTGCAGGGATGCTGGAATTGCATTTAAGATTATCGCTCACATTTATTTGTTAAATTTAAGAACATGTACTTTCTTCCATTTTTTCTTATGAGAAAAACCCCAAAAATATTTAGTAAGACCACTTAGATATTAAATAGGCGAACAAAGGAATTAATGTCTTTTTAAGTCTTAGTCTTTTGTGTTTGACAAAGAGAGTGTGTGTCAGAGTTTTTGTGGACTAACTTCAGTTACTTGTAGTCTTGTTCGAATAGTAAGATTTTGTTTTAGGTGAGATTTAATAAAAATTTATTACTATAAATAATCTGACAAAAAAATTATCTGAATTTTTCTGAATGTATGAATTTAGTGATTGTCCTGAAAGTATGAAATTATCTAGATTTACGTGATTTTTTCATGACTATCTTCAGCTTTTTATATATATATATATATATATATATATATATATATATATATATATTTTGAATAATTCAGCTTTATATATTAGATATGAACTACCTCGATCATTCTCTCTATGCCCCTTGTTTTTATATTGTTGTAAAAGAAATCAAGAGAATGAAAACAAATAACTCTCTCTATCTCCAATCCTTTTGTTTGCCTCAATTTTATTTTTGATTGTTCTTTTGTTATGCTTCATATCGTGGTACTTCGTATGTACCGTGACTATGAATGTTTTAGAAAATCATTTCTTTATAACCCATTTACTAAATTTAGCCCTATTATGGAGTAATTTTTTTTCCTTATCTATTCCACTACTTAATTGACAATTTGTAACATAAAATTAACAAAATTCAAATATTTCAAAAGGAAAACTTTGACCAATAATATATATTTAATTATCAATAATTAAATTATAAAACAAATTGATATTTTAAAATTATATATCAAGACGATTCTAATAAGTAACTGTACAATTATGCTTTATATTAAATATAATAACAAAAATTGATTAAAATGATTAGGTGAATAATGCAAATGTTAAATTTAGCATTTATTTTGTATAAAAGTAGTAGTCTTATCTACTTTGTATGGTTTACTCCAATGTGACACATTATTAATTATGTAAGAAATTAATTGTGCTACTCTGCTATGTCTAGGACTCTAGATGTATCTTCAATGCATAAATAGTAAAGTTGAATTTCAAACCTTTGTAAATTTAAATTTTTGTCCAATTAGCTTTCTCTAAGAAAGCAATCCCAATGTACTCTATACTTTTAATATACGGAGTACTTTTCAAAATATATATACTCGCACAAAAATTGTAGACATCTATTTTTATTTCTGTACCTAGAAAATGCGGAATAACAGAGTAAGTTTAAGTACGTATATGTTATTTTCACATTTTTCACAAATTTATAAATCAATCAAAGTATAATTACACCAAATCATTATTTCAAAACATTCATTATATTGATAAAATTAGACAAGAACAACTTATTTTAGATGAAAAGAATTATCATTCATCTTTCTTTCTTTTTCTTCATGCTCAAGAAAGCTCAAAAATTAAATTGTTGCTTTTTCAAAAGTGGATTCACCTCATCATCAATGTGAACTAAAAAAGGATATTCATAAAAAGGAAAAATATCACCTCCTTCATAATGTAACATTTGGACAAAGTTATTAAGTAAAAGAAATGCTAAAAGCATAAAAGTGAGGCAAACTTCATACACGCAAGGCAAAGGCTATAAATACATCAAGGACAAGTATATCCGTATAATTTAATCATCTTCTTAGCTTGTTTAAAAATTGGCACAACATAGTATTAAGTCATAAAGAATTACTTGATCTCCAAGTTATCTTACCTTTATAATGACCCTTCTTTATTCCATTTTTTCCCCTAGTACGCTCTAATTATCTTTAGTTTATAATCTCAAATTTAAAGCAATCTTTAATTAAAGCATAATCACAAAACAAAATTAAATGGTTAAGCTAACAATAATTGGAAGAATTAGAGATGGCATGCCTATGTCACAAGGTCTAAGGTATGCTAATGAAGATTACAACATACCATACTACAAGCAACAAGCTGAATTCATTCTCAAAGAAATCTCAAGAGGTTCTTTAGCACCTAATCCAAAGATGACCATTCGCCTTGATCATCAACATTCTTTCAAGTATAATATTCCTCTCTTCCCCTTCCCCTTCCCCTTCCCCCGCACCCTAGCGAGTGCCCCTCTAAGTTTTGATTTGATTTACGCGAGTTTGTATTGCTAACATGGTTTTTCTAATGATCATTATAAGTTGTTTGGTAGCTTGTGGTGCTTGCTTCATCACATTGTGTGATTCTTCATATCCGAGAACACTAGCCTTTCATTACCTTGAGGATTTGAGACAGGAGTTAGAGAAATTTCAAAGCGATCAACTTATGGATAAAATTACTAGACCTTATAGTTTTGTCAAGTTTGGTAAGCATATCTTAATTGTATTGTTAATATTGTTTTCCTCTTTTGTTTGTTGATTTGATTATCTTGAAGATGTTTATAGCGCAAAATCCTATGATTTTTTTTTTTTTTTTTTGAACTTGTGTGATTATAGACAGTGTTATTATCAACATTGGGAAACAATATGTTGACACAAGAACACAAGCTAATCTAAAGAAGTTAAACGCTAATCGCGGACAAGAGTTAAGTATAACAATAGAAACCATGTCTGCAGTTATAGAAAATATAAAGCAAATAGGTAAAAATTCTCTTTCTCCAATCATTTAGCTAATATTTTCAATGAATTTTGTGAAAAGCTAAACTAAATTGTTTTCATTGCTTTTACTAGATTATATGGAAAGAGTTGTGATGGCTCCTCAAATTGTTTCACCAATATGGGGTTCTCGGCATCTTGAGGTAAACAATCTTAAATTCTGAAGAACAATTTTGAAGATTGAAAATGTCGTGAAAGTAAGCTTACATTTCAGCGTGTGGCAGATTATCGCGTTGAAATGGACACCAATTGGCATTATAATTAGTGTTGTGGTCGTTCTTCTGCTGTGGGCGTCACTGATCATGGCAGATTATGTTGTCTTGTGCTCGTGACACAACGTTGCAGAAATCTCAGTCATTCTTTTTCCTCTATAGTACTGCAATACAGAGGAATATACAACACAATTATTAAACAGGTTGTCCATTGTCCAAGCTTATGAACACACAATATAACTTCCTTGATGATCAAATAATACCAAAGTTAATATTTCTAACTGAGATGCAGAAGAATATGCTGTACAGCCATCAAACAACCTAGTCACTTAGAGACAGTAAATCAGTAATCAAACTACAATCTACATTTCCAACAAGCAAAGCGCCATACAGCTTTCAACAGGGAAATTCAAAACAGGGCTCGACTCTATTTGTATCGTACATCTCCAGCAAAGTCCCCAGATTTTTCTTAATGTCTTTAGTTCGTCCCCCATCTATGAACATGGTAATCTTCTACGTTATGCCACCAGAATTTATTGCAGAAAAGATCAGTACAACAGGATTCATCCCTGGAATTTGTTTCTAATCTTTCAAACAAGTACTTCAAATCAAAGAAAACAAAATTACTCAGCATGATAATTAGGCCTTAATAGACATTTCAAGTTGCTAATCAGTAATTGCTTAACTTTCTACTATTGGTCTCTCCCTTATTATCTAAGCACGTACTTACTAACTAGTCTCATTCCATATCATTTTTCTCATAAAAGTCTACCTGCACTATTTTTTTATTTGTCATATATATCAATGAAACTTTATTCGTTATATTAAAACTTCAAACCAATAAATTAAGTAGCACTTCCTAGAAACTAGTGCATAACCTTAAATAGAATAAAAGGAGTACCTTAATGGTATAATAAGAGCAATCAGTAGATTAGGTAGTCGGATGGGTGCTCCAAACTAGGCCATCCACAAGAGCTGCAAAATATATAGCATGTTGGCACTGTGCGTCCACACTTTTAGGTGAACATTATTCGGTTGAGAAGCTTGCATTATTCGTCCACAATTGCCTAGAACAAGTTCATCCTAGCAAAGTCAAACAAAAATCACAATAAGGAAAGTGTGACAGTAGTACATCAGCAAAGATGATAAGTCGGAAATTGCAAATAGCTCAATCTTGTACCCACCATGTGCATGAAAAAAGTCAAAAAATTGAAGAACAGCCTATTTGATTCAGAAATTCACTTAAGCTGATGAACCACGATGTGTTAATTTCAGTAATATCATACCAACTGTAGCTGATAGAGCACGTAGTTGGTACTACTTGTCGAATAAAAGTTGGAAACTTCGCTATCCAATACAACTTCCTTAGGTTGGGGCAGTTGACTTTCCCTTTCACAGCGATTACCAGTGAATATGAAAGTCCTCAAACTTGGACAATTAACAGTAATCTCCTTGAGAAATGAAAGAACTGATAAGTTTAATTCCCTCAGATGAACATTAGCTGCTTTGAACGAGTCTTTGAATCCTCCAATTGCGTGAATACGTGCTATCTCAATAAGTGGAAAAGCAGTTGTAAAGAGGAATGAAACCATATAAGGTGAGCTTCCTGATACTTTTGCCAGCAACTGGGCTAATCAAACACCTCGTATCAAGACTATTAGAATAATAACTCTCAAGATTAATGATTTCCCTAATGTCAACAATTTTGAACGAACCAAAATTTTTCTTGACTGAAGCTTTCTTTAGCATAGGAAAATCTGAAAGCTTAAAGGTTTCCATCGGTAAAGTGCAATATTTACACTTTATAAATTCAACTCTGGGACAACAGCAGGCCAAGTTGTTCAACACTTCCACATCCAACACCATAACATGCAAAAGCCTCAATCATCGCAGGGAAGTACACAACCTGATTGCCAGCAGCTGATGATAAACAACAGTTTTGTAAAGTGAGGGATTGCAACCATTGTGAAGCCAATAGCACGGAGTAGGGAAAATTGTAAAGTTTATCTTTCGGATGCATCTCTTCAAGATACATTTCGACCTTAGAATTACTGACATCTTCCGGCCTACACGAGTCAATTGTTTGCACAGCAATAAACAAATTCTCAACCTTAGTTTGGCTGAGCAACTCCATCAGCCGATCAACAGAAAAATCTTCAGTGTCAGTTACAGCCACATTCATATTAAGATCTCTCACTGGTAAAGATGTTTTCTTCATTCTTAACAACTGACTACTCGCATATTTAAGGAATTTGCCCCTCATTTCATGGATATCTAGCTCTTGCCCACTTTCAGCAGAAGGTAATGACTTCTTTATGTCCTCTTTAAACGTATTATAATCAATGTTATCAGATAACTTGATACTCTATGAACTGCATATCCCTTTCCAGGTCTTAGATAAAGTGCTAGTTCGAGCTGCATCTATTATAGGCACAAATGATAAAATGCGGTGGATGAGATCCTCAGGCAATTGTGATATTCAGTCCAAGTTCCCATCCTTGTTAAGCCTCTTGTTATCAGACATCTTTTCTTTCCAATAGTATTGCTCAATGATCTTGCCTAATCTGCAGTAGGAGTATCATTTTTCTTAGAAGAAGAAATACAAAGAGTTCTGCTATATAATTCAAACATGCCACGAATGTATCATAAACTAACACTAATAAGAATCTGAATATGGTGAAGTAAAAACTGAAAAGTGTAGATAAAATAAGATACTATACTACGAGTATTTACAATTGCCAGCAACGCCTTGCTCGTGCTAAAAACTAATCTAGATTTAATTCCAAGTATCCAATTTTTATCAAACGAAATGCTGCAAAAATTAATCACAGACCTTCGGCATGCATATGTTTTAGGCAGGGTATAGTAAAAAATAGTATTTTGCTCAAAATTCTAGACATGGAATCTTGAAATACACTTGATCTAACCTATGAATATAATATCAACAGTTTCCTTTAATTGCATTGCACTTGCACCCCGGGTTTTATACTTGTAGGAACGTTATGTTATCCCGACTTATGAACTCATATGAGACATGTACACGTGTCTAACTCGGCTATTTTTTATCCAAAATTAAGGGTCAACAACGAAATAAATAAGGAAATTATACCCAGAAATGATATCAAAGCACTAAACTGATCGACTTTTAACTTCTTGCATGCTTGCTAATTGCTTCCATGAATATAATACTCATGAATTTCATTAAACAACAACTACATTTACTTTCTTGTGATATTCAACTTCACATTTGAAAAACCAGAAGAAGAAAAAATCAAGAACTTGAGAAACGAAACAATTAGGAGATTAAAAACAGGTGATTCAACAAGCATAATAAGTTCTTCAAGGATCACAGAAACTCCATTAAAGTAAATCAAAGCCTGAATTCATTATAGTTACATAATCAAGGGTGCATCAATTCAATTCAGCAAGAAACTTAAAGAAAAGCAACAACATGAAAATTATAACAAATGAAAATGGTTCAGGAAATGAAAAATTAAAATTACCTAGAAAAGGGTGTTTGATGAATGATGAATTATTGTCTTTTGAGAATTGAAGAAAGAAGAAGAGTATGCTCTGTTTCTGGTTTAGCAATGGCACGGCCGTGTGAAGAGTGATTAAGTAAGCAAATAACTAACTTTCTGTTTTGGGTGCGTCATTTATAACAGTAGGAAATTGACTCATCCGACGTGGATTTTATGCTTACCCAAAATGGAAAATTAATTTAATTAAAGAAATTTCCATTTTTGGCCTTGGAAAAAAAGCGTTTTTTGAAAATAAAAATAAAAAGGACTTTTATTTGATTTACCTTTAATTACTCTTTAATTTACCCCCAAAATCCTTAATTGAACTTCTCTATGAGTAACAGCGCTGTAATTGACGACCCTCTACCAACGGAACGGCCGCATCGGCGGGAAAGTGCAACCCTACCAACCACAACACCGCTGTGACATCCGACGTGTGAGGTGGGCCAATTGGACCACCATGGTTCGAGATTTACAACCATGGTGGTCCAATTTGAACATTTTATGATCGGAAAAAAGTGCATGATTCTGAATTTTGGGGGTGAAATTGCTGAAATTGAGCGAATGTGAGTGGTGATTTGAAGAGATTTGTGAGGTGGGCTGATTTAATTGAGGAGCTAATAGTTCATTAGGGTAATTGAGATTTTTTTTTTTTTTTTCGGGTAGAGAGAGCTGTAGTGTTAGCTATTGGCTATTGCTAGGCCCGTTCATCGGTCCAAAATTGGACTGAAATGATCAATCATTTGGTTCAATCTAGTCCAATTTTCAGTTCGGACCGATTTTTTAATCTTAATCTCGAGTACCACCCAAAACTTAGCCAATTAAACTAATTGGTAGTCTAAATTCTGGTGTACTATTGATGTTGCGGGATTGTAGAGTAATCCTCTCATAAGAGGTGTATATATAATTAGAGCAAATTCTACTCTCTTTTAAATGTAGCTCATTCTGAATCTGTCATAAATTATTATTTATCTTATGGAGTGAATTAATTTCAAAGTAGATAAAGAATAACAATAAGATTGTTTGTGCAATAGAAGGAAATTTCATTATATGGTACATTATCATGTTAATGTTTGCCTCCCCTAAAACTTTCACATAGTGTTTCCAAAGTTAAAGGTCTTTAAGCCTGATATTAGAAAGAACACTATTTTTCTTAATTGGTTTAAGAATCAAGATATACTCCCTCTCCTCTAAAGTCTAAATGGTGAATTTGTTGATAACATTGTATTGTGAATCTTGTGATCATTATTTAGATCACTATCCGCTTGGGCCTCCTTGATCATGACATTGGTTTGTTGTATAGGATATAGGACCTCCTTCCAACCACCCAAAGTAATATCTTTATTGATTTTAGGTTTGATTAGTTGATTACCCACTAATAAAAAATAGTGCAAATCAATTACATGTACGCGGTTGATATGAGTAATTTTATTCGTAATTTGGTCAAAACACTCCTTTGTTCTTCAAAGTTAATCTAAGGTTTAAAAGCATACATAGTCATTTTAAATTATGATGTTGTAGACATGTAAGATTTGTTGTGTTTTTCAATATGAACCAATTAGAAATTTAAGACATCTAATGATTGTGGATCTGTAGTATTGACAATTCTAAGCCCAAGTGTGTATCCAAAATAAAGGTTCCAAAATAAATTGTATGTGTTCATCTCAAGTTTTAACTTAATGTTATAGCTAGTTTATTTCAAGATTTGTACATATCATTATTATTTTCCCATATAATTAAAAACATTATAAATTTATTGGGCCTCCTTCTCTAAGTTCCCACATCTCAAGTCCTCAACAACAACATTTTCTTTCTCTAAACGATTATTGTACTTACGATTTTTTGTTAAGTGATATAAAATCGATTCAACTAAGGAATAATTCGACCACATTTGAATTGATTCAAAAAGACTTGAACCTAAACCGAATTCCTATGTATATCTAAACAAAATTTTTATAAGAGTACTTGCTAAACTTTAAAGTTAACAAAAAAAAAAATATATTTTTTATATTTCTTTTGATGTTTGGAGAGCCACAAGGGCGAGTAATGAAAATAGATCTCAAAATCTCCTAGAATAAAAAAAAAGGAGTTCTAATCACTTGGGCTATCCTCATTCTTAAAATATTTGTTATGTAACTTAAATATAAACACGTTTTTTAGTTATGCATTGGTTGTCAACCTCCTA